GTGGCCAGGCAACTCCCCGGATCTCAATCCCATAGAGAACCTGTGGTCAGTCCTCAAAAGGCGAGTGGACAAGCAGAATCCCACAAATTGTGTTCATCTCCGAGAACTAATAAGGCAAGAATGGATCACCATCAATCAGGATTTGGCCCAGAAGATAATATCAAGCATGCCAGAGTGAACCGCAGAGGTTATGAAGAACAAGGGTCAACACTGTAAATATTGACTCATTATATATTTTTTGCCAATAAAAGCCTTTAAAACGTATGATATGCTTATCATTGTTTTTCAGTATACCATAGAAACATGTGGAAAAATAATCTACAAATACTGAAGCAGCAAACTTTGCAAAACACAAAATGTATGTCACTGCCAAAACTTTTGGCCATGACTGTACGTGAAACGTAGGCCTACATGGTATTTTATGCTTGTGTAAATGTTAGTATAATAATTATTATACGGCAGAATAAAAATCACAAGATGTACTTAACATGTGGGTAATAAAACAAATTCTTATATAAAACATTTTTAGTGTTTAATATGTTGATAGTCTTTATATTGTTTTTGTATGGTTGGGTCACAAGGGAGTGAGTCATCACGAATTATTCATTATGAAATGTATGTTCTCGCTACACCTGACCAGGTAAAGCCAGCAGGTGTGAAGCAGATACAGACGCGCGCGGATCTCGGCCCCGCCCCCCGCTATGATTGGTTCACACCTGTGCGCGAGCAGAAACACCGCAACACCGGGGCGAGGTGAGACTGTCCCGGCTGAGCTCTGGGCATGACCCCGCGCGGCTCCACGCAGAGGCTCGTTTAGGATCTGAGGGAGTCTGGAGTCTGAGGATGGTGAGCTGAGCTCGCAAGTGTGACACTGCTGCTCGTCTTGTACTGTCTTCTTGTTAATGTTGCTGCCGTTTTATCGCGTTAACATCACCAACAGAGCTTTGTTTTTTGTTGAGGATGGTGAGCTGAGCTCGCAAGTGTGACACTGCTGCTCGTCTTGTACTGTCTTCTTGTTAATGTTGCTGCCGTTTTCTCGCGTTAACATCACCAACAGAGTTTTCTCTTCTGTTGAGCTGTTTGTCTGGGATCTGTCCTTATATTTGACCCTTTGTTGTCTTCTGTTGAGCTGTTTGTCTGGGATCTGTCCTTATATTTGACCCTTTGTTGTGACTGCACACACACACACACACACACACACACACACACTCTCTCTCTCTCTGTTCTTTTGCTGATAAGAGGGACATTTGTATTTCCTCGTGTCAAAAAGACAAAGGTGCGTTTGTTGCTTTTATCGCTTTTCTTGGTTGAAAACATCAATTTGCAGTGTCATGTTCACATTTTCAGTAAGAAATGCATGACTGTCACTGTAAACTATACTTCTTTTTAGGACGTAATTAAATGTAAAATTATTCATATAGTAATTTTATAGTCTAAACAAGCACGGGCTTTTATTAGTTATGAGTTGTAGTGTAGTAATAATTTTCACTGTATGCACTGGCAGATGTATTCAAGGTAAACATTTCAGAAAAACATGAGTTTCCTGAGAATTGAACCCATGACCTTGACATGCTCTAGCTTTTTTTACCTGCTTTTTTACATATTTGCATCAAGATTTTAGGTTATAAAAGTATAAGAACATTATTTATGATTTATTATATTGTAATTATTTTTTTTATATATATAATTGGTGACTATTTTAGTTTTCCACCTTTTTTGTTGTTAATTTAAAATGGTCCTGAAGTAAAATTATTGCTTTTAAATAAAGCAATTAGAATTATGTTCGTCACTGCAGGATGTGTGTGTTAGTTTTATTTAATATTTATAATCTGTTGTTAAATTAATTGTACAATATTGTTAAATTATTGCAATTATTATAAATGATGAAGTATTATTATTATGAAGTATTTTTTAAATGTTATTACTCTTGATTTTGCTAACTGATGCTGATATAGTGTCAAATTATATATTTATATATATATATATATATATATGCATGCTTTGTTATTTAATAGCAATTATTTGACAAAGGAATGACAATGTAAATATTTAATGTAGTATATTTCGTATTTACAAAATTGCAATTTAATAGCAATAACACTCTAAGGTTTCCTCATTTAACTAGGTAAGCATGTGTTATGTATGTATGTGTGTGTGTTTATGTGTTTGGTGGCAACAGTGATGCAGGCTCTTGGCAACAGGCCTAAAATGTCAAACACAGATTCCCACTGGGGTCTTGGTGAGGAATCTTACGTTCATCACGGACTCTCTGTGTTATTAGTGTGTCTGTAAGATACTGACAGTATGTGCTGCTGGAAACGTGTGTGTGTGTGTGTGTGTGTAAGAGAGAGCACACCGTTTCCCTATATTATTACTCCTAGTTATACTTTAACTGCGATAGTCCTGCGTTGTTTGACATTCCGACCATGACAAAGCATGTGGTATTTTACCTGTGTGTGTTTTGTGTTGTATTCAGGTCAATACTTCACATAGTTTATCACATTCCCAAAAGCAGCTTAATGAAGCTTTCAGACATTTTCAGGACAAATGAATTTGTGTCTCCGCTGTAGATGCGTTTCCTGCTGCTGTTCAGTCGTCAGGGGAAGCTCCGGCTGCAGAAATGGTTCACGGCTTTCAGCGATCGTGACAAGAAGAAGATCATAAGAGACGTCACGCAAATGGTGCTGGCGCGACCGCCGAAGTCCTGCAACTTCCTGCAGTGGAGGGATCTGAAGATCGTCTACAGGAGGTCAGAGGTCACCTTCTTATCGCATGTGCTTTCCTCTGCATTACAATGCTTTCTGTAACTTTCCGACTCTGTCGCTCTCTCCCATAGAATAATTTAACTCGACCTTTGACGCAAGTTAATGATCAGCCATCAAGCCCTAAAGCATTATGGTGCATTTACAGTCTGTCTGCATGCACCTTTTTAGATCTTTGCACATTAAAGTATCGTAATTTGGCATAGTCAAAAGATACTAAAACTACTAGAACATTTGCATGTTGAACATTGACCTGCAGAGCAATTGTATTTGAACCTGATGCATCTTGTGGCATTTCTGCTGTTCTAGATTAAGGGAACTTTGCATGGTAGCAGTACACACTGACAAATAATGGCTGGCTGCAAAAGGACTTAATAGTCCTTTAAGTTCATATGATTCCTTTTCTTAAAAAGGTTCCTTAGGAAGCTCTATTCAACTAAATATGGTTCCTTATTTGAAGATGAAAAGCTTATGAAAAGAACCAGTGAAACATGTGTATTTTTAAAAGTATACTGATCCAGGATCAGCCTGTGATTGTGTGTTGTATATAAAAACATTTAGTCACTCAGAGCAGCTTGAAACCCAGTGACATTGACCTCTGACCTCTGTCCTGCAGGTATGCGAGTCTGTATTTCTGTTGTGGTTTGGAGCAAGGGGACAATGAGCTGCTCACACTGGAGCTTCTGCACAGATACGTCGAGCTGCTGGATCAGTACTTTGGCAATGTAAGGTTAAAAACTATAGAGTTTATTTAGAGTTTTAAAATAAATTCATACTTTTAATCAGCGAGGATGCATTAATTTGATTAAAAGTGACAGTAAAGACATTTAGAATATATTTATATGTAATATATTATTATATAATATATATATTTATTTCAAATAAATGCTGTGCTGTTCTATTCACCAAATTATCCTGAAAAATAAAATATTTCACAGTTTACACAAAAATATGAAGTAGCATATCTGTTTTAACATTGATAGCATTACATTTTAAAATATATTCAAATAGAAAACACTTATTTTAAATTCTAATAATATCTTACAATTTTGCTGTTTTTATCGTATTTTTGGGTAAATAAATGCAGCCTTGGTGAGCAAAAGAGACTTCTTTCTAATACATAATTTTTGTGTGTGTGTGTGTGTGTGTGTGGCGTATATAGAGTAATATTACTCATCCTCTTGGTAAGACTTTGATGTAATCAAGAGCATGTTAATGTGTTTTCTGAATGGTGTGAGTCATGTTTTTATGTTTTTGGCATCTAGATCTGTTTGCATGTGTTGCAGGTATGTGAATTAGACATTATTTTTAACTTTGAGAAGGCATACTTTATCCTGGATGAGTTTATTATTGGTGGAGAGGTGCAGGAGACATCCAAAGCCACACACACACACACACACACACACACACACACACAAGCTTGCTGAGGTGGTGATTCATCATGTTCTCACAGATGTGTGTGTACTATATGTACACAACCTGATCCTGTCTGCTCGACTGTTTGTTTTTCAAATAAATTATTACAGAGGCATTCATGAATGTTATAACCTCATAAATATATGTATTTAATTATTACACTGGTCAAATATAACTCAAGAGACATTGTGTTTTGTCCTCATCTTTTGACAGACGATGGAGGAGTATTTAAACAAACCCACATACTGAAGGAACATGTTCAGATCATCACAGCCATCACCTCACTCCTCAAAGACACAACAACAAGAACTTCATATGCTGAATGTATTTAATTGAGCTTTCATACAAAGTCACAACACTGAAATAGCAACACTTTGCATTAGTAAGCATTTCAAACTACTTTTGAGATAGTGAGAATACTATTATTAAATTATAGGAGTTTAATATGTAGCACATATTTTAGACAATCAGGGAGAGATACACTCATGGACACTCATGGAGTCAGTATATATATATTTTGAAATAAACGTATACTTTCATTAATCAAGGATGCATTAAATTGATCAAACTTGACAGTAAAGACATTCATAATGTTAAAAAGATTTCAAATAAATGCTGTTCTTGATTTCTGAAGGATCATGTGACACTGAAGACTGGAGTAATGAGGCTGAAAATTCAGCTTTTCATCACAGAAATAAATTACATTTTAAAATATATTCAAATAGAAAAGTTATTTTAAATTGTAATAATATTTCAGAATATTACGGCTTTTACTGTGTTTTTGAAGAAACTTCTTTTAAAAACGAAAGTTTTAAATCTTAAACTTTTGAACGGTAGTGTACATGTGGGATATTTGAATACACTGTGAAATTAGCCCTCTGGTTTCTGTTCATTGTGCAGTCAATTTTATTTTGATGTTATTTTTTATTTTGTGCAGACAATCAGTCTGTAACTCTCAGACAGACCTTAGATTGAACTGAAACTGAAAGAAAAAATGTTTAAAATCTAAAAGGTGTTGTGTTGGAAGGACTGGCCAAGCTATTGATCCAAATCTGGAATGTTTTTATTTTAATTAAATAATAAAATGCATTTTAATAACAGTTTGTATGAATTGTAGTAGCACGAATGCAGCTTATTCTATACATGCATTTAAATATATAACCAAATTTTCATGACTCAAATGTAAATGCATTTTGAGGATGTTATGACCCCGGTCACACATGAAACAGAAACCAATCACCAAAAAACAAACAAAAAAGAGATTGTATGTCATGAAAAGTTTGCAGAGGTTGCTCGGCAGTAAGAGAAGCATTACACAGAGGACCATGGTGTGAACAAATGCTTTATTTACCTCTGCCACGTCACGCATGACCTCATCACACGCACAAGATACTTACTGACTGAAAACATAACTGGCGTCATTAAGAGGGAGAAAATCTGTGTTCATATGTTGGAAGAGGTAAAGCCGGCTACTTTTTACATTGTTCTATTCGCTATCTAAGAAACAAATTCATTGGGTTTACTAAAATACTCTTTTTTTCGCTATACAGAACAAGGAATGAGAAAAGCTGGAGCACTACATTGACTAAACGCAATTAGGGGATATATTTGTTTCAAAATATTTTATTATATGACAAACTTCAAACAATGAATATAATCGTTATCTACACATCTACATTTCAGGAACTGTTTTCCCCTCAGAGTCTGTTTCGTCGGCATTGTCGCTCTCCGGATCCAGATACCGCAGGATTTGCAGCATTGTGTTGTTGTCTAATCCCGCCGCTGCGTTCTTGTGATTCGCGGGTCCTTTTTCTGGCGCGCCTTTGTTGAAGTAGTTGGCACGTTCGTACACGGGCTGATCCTCGTCATGTAATGGCGTCAGACGTGCATGTCTCTGTCCATGTGCAAACATTTCCGACGCCAGGTAATTTGCAAGTTCATCTTCCTCGCCAGCAGTGTCGTCATAATCATCCCTGCTGGTTTCCCTCTCGTAATAACTTGACGTTTTCGCTTGCGCTGGTCGGTTGTTTTGTTGTACTGCGTTTACCAGCTCAAGGATGTTCATGATGTCCTGGGCGACACTGTTGCCCTCCGATGCCTCGAGCGGCTGCCGGTGAGGTGATGCGGCGAAGGTCTTGTGAGCAGTTGCGTATGGCATGCGCGACTTTGTTGGGACTCTGAATAAATCCTTCTGCTTCTCGTTCTGGAGAAGCTCAAGAACTTCCTCCGGTGGGATTTGTAGCTTCTGTGAGATTTTGATGATCTGGGACAAAGACTCAGGGAGTGTGCTGTGCACGAGCTTAATTTCCCTCTCGTCCTTGTCGTCCTCCTCTTCATCTTCATCTTCATCCGCATCTTTTTTCTCCACCTCTCGGTCGCTTTCTTGCTCGCTCTTGCTGGCCTCTTGTCTTTTCTGCTGCTCCTGCTCTTTCTTTTCTAGGACTTTCAGAAGATAGTAGTCCACAAGCTTTGCAATGTCCTCAGGCTCCTCCTCTTTTCCTGTTTGGAACCAATCGGGTTGGTTGGATCTCTTGACATCATCGTCATCTTCGTCGTCCTCCTCTTGCTCATCATCCTCAAGGTTGCGATTAAACCCATGCCTCTCTCTTTCTTCCTCTTCGGTCTCTGTTTGTTCCTCCAAAGGTGCCCATTCATCAGTTCCCATGATGTCCTCCAAGACCATCTTCCTCTGCCTGTACAAGTCATTATCATTATCGTCATCTTCTTCACCATCCTCCCGTTTGCTGTTGGCCTTAGATGCGGAGATTCCACTCAGTTCCTCAAACACAGATTGAAGGGTTGCCAGCTTCTGGGGTGTGTACTGTTCTTCTGCGTTCTCGTTGGTCCGTTTGAGAGGCTGCTCCTGATCCTCCTCATCCTCAAACATGAGTGGGAACTTCCAGTGCCGCCTCTGGCTATCTGGATTTGTCCACGAGGACCTTCCGTAATTATCAGACGAAGTTTCCCTTTCTAGTTGTTGTTTTGGTCTTGGGAAGGGGTGGACGGCGTATCGAGGTTGAGATGGTGCGATGACCTTCTGGGAGTTTTTTTGGGGCACCATGTGTTCCTCGGTCTGTTGTAGTGTGGTAAGAACCGCTTGCAGCAACTCTTGAGTTTTATCATTCTCGCTTTCCTCACTTTCCTCCATGCCTCTATCCATCCGGGCAGGGGCTGCCAGTTGCAGCATGGAGCGAACGCTCTCCATGTCGTCTGAAGTGTCTTGCTGGCGCTCGTCGTCAAGAGGATCAGGTGGGGTTCTCTGGCTGAGGCTTTGGATGTAACGTAGAGCTCTGAGCATCTCGGCACTCGGAGGAGGACGGATCTGGGATGCAGGTCCATAAGAGACGGGTTCACTTCCGCTCAGGCGATGCTCTCTTAGCGTGGCCCCTTGAACTCCACAAACGAGAGAAAGGAAAAGGGGCAGAAGAAGTAGCGAGGGGAGGACGGACACCCCTGTTGCGCAGCATCTAGATGATGACGACATGTTTTACCTGAGGGAGGGAGAGAGGATAGATGGTGAGTCAGACAGTTTTTCATGAAAACTAAGTATAAAAGCTTTCACTGGGGTGGTACTCTTTTAAAATAGGTACTAATATGGATATTTTTGGTACTAATATGTACCATTTAGGGGTAAATAAGGTACAACCCCAATGACAGCTTTTGTACATTTTTGCAACACATACACAAATATGTTTGCGCTATCAATTTCATGTATATTGATTATTCTGTAAAAATAATAAAGGTATGAAAGCTTTCACTGGCGTGGTATCCTTTCAAACTAAGTACTAAATGTACTAATATGTACCTTTAAGGTACTAATGTGCACCATTTAATGTAAATGTAGTACCATTTCGAGGTACAAAAGTGATTCTTTCATACATTTTGCAACACATGCGCACACACAGATATGTTTGCATTAACAATTTCATGCATATTCATTGTTCTGTCATCAGTTTGTCAACTTCATCTCATTCCAAACCTGTACGATTGTTTCAGTGTTTTTGTCCATACAATGAAAGTCAGTGTGGTCCAGTGTTTTGTCTTTCAATGTATAGGAAAGCCATATTAGAACAAGTTATTAGTATTTTGAACAAATACCTTGTTCAAAATGCCTTCTTTTGTGTTCCACTGAAGAAAGAAAGCCATGCATGTTTGGAATTACACGAGGGTGATTAAATGATGACAGAATATGTATCACCTGACGAACTATTCCTTTATCTTCTTACAAAGACCTACCCTTGATGACTTATTGCAATCTTGTTTACAATGCTTAATTGACCATCGCAGGTCTCGCTTTGTTTGCATCTCTCTCTCTTTCTGACATCTGTTGAAAGCCTGTTGATGAGTGTTTGCGTAGCACTCAGAGAGCCAGCGCTGAAGATCTCATTAGTTTCTAAATTGCTGCCGCGACTAAATGAGTCATACCCCGTTGCTACGGGAGACCGCGCGAGGATCCGCACTGCTGTTGAACCGCAAAGTGCCGTCAAGCGGAGAGGAGGAGAAAACCCCGGAGCACAACATCCTGCTCACTTCAATCTGTTTATGCGTATTTTTAAGTGCAAATGTAGTAGAAATAACTTTAACTTGGACATTTTCCGCCAGGTTTCAACCAAGTTTGTTTTTAAATGTGCGCAGCGTTCTAAATGAACGATTTGTAGAATTTAACAATAAACACAAATGAGCTTTAAAATAGCAGTTGTGCGCGAAACTGAGAATGGTTGTATATAAGAAGCGGTCGAACTTTTATTAATCACTTTTTCAACTTGTAAAACGCGTGCTTTTTTTTGTTTCATCTTGCTGTTGATGAACGCTTTGCGCGCAGCAGGTTGCTAATATATGAAGCACTCCATACGCGTTTCTAAAGAGATAAACCAGATATAAGTGATGCATTTCGTCTCAAAGAACGCACAAATGAGTGTTTAAAGGCAAAAACCTTCTTACCTTCGCCTTCGGTCTGTTTTAAAGGGGAGTCGTGAGTGCGTTGCGCATCGCTCTCGCGCTGTTTATGGCTGTGCAGCACTGTGAGCACGAGCGCGGAGTCTCTCTCGTCAGCACCGCGGACAGCTCCGCCCGTTATAACAGACGCCACCTGATTCGTGCGTCACTGAAACAACATACGCAAAAACACTCACTTACGCACACTCACACCCCCACGCACACGCACACATGTCTGGTTTGCTATCCTTGTGGGGACTCTCCATAGGCGTAATGGTTTTTCTACTGTACAGACCGTATATTCTATTGCCCTA